TCTCAAAGTACTCAACGCTGAGAGGCAAACCCTGCAGGATGGAAAAGTGTGTGTCCACAGTGTCGTTTAACAGATTGGTCGCCTCGTCTGGGGGCCGACGCTTTTTCACAGCCAACAGCGCCCGTAGATACAACAGCTCCTAACACACACAAACACACAGGTTAATCAAGCCTTAAAGATGATTCTGTTTATTGTGTGCTTTAAGACCATGTCATGTGCTAATGAATCTGTTCACTAATGTTGTACAGTTTAATTCCTCAGGCAAAGCTCAAAATAAAAAAGAAAGCAGTTTTGTTTTTGTTATACATCTGTTCGTCTACAAATACAACGTGGCAGCTGCTTTTCGCTAAGCAGATGTGCGTGTTTGTTTAAGCGTGCGCTAAACTGAGTCTCGGTTCATGCAAACAGGCTCTGTTACGCACTGTGGATGACCCAATGGGTAAACACAACATCAGTGGATTAATAAACCAGATCGCTGTTGAATCTGAATCAAAGATAGATATTATTCTACAAAAATGCTTTTCTTTATCTTTTTATTTAATTCTGTGGAAATATTCTGGAAAGAGTCTCTGTGTAACATTGTTCCAAGAGCTCACATAGTTTTTTTAAAGCAGCACTATGTAGTTTTTCGACCTTAAAATAATGTCTCTAAAATTATTTCAGTGGTAGAACAACTCTTAACCGGACGAATTGTACTGCCGCTGCTACCTGAGCAGCCTCCTAGCAGCTAAAACCAGACTCTTCAAGTTTTGTGATCGGGTCGGTACACACAGCCCCGCCCATCCCCTGCCAGCGGAAGAGAGCGACCTGCTTTATGGCCCAACAGCTAACTATTACACTTTTTATTTAATTCTGTGGAAATATTCTGGAAAGAGTCTCTGTGTAACATTGTTCCAAGAGCTCACATAGTTTTTTTAAAGCAGCACTATGTAGTTTTTCGACCTTAAAATAATGTCTCTAAAATTATTTCAGTGGTAGAACAACTCTTAACCGGACGAATTGTACTGCCGCTGCTACCTGAGCAGCCTCCTAGCAGCTAAAACCAGACTCTTCAAGTTTTGTGATCGGGTCGGTACACACAGCCCCGCCCATCCCCTGCCAGCGGAAGAGTGCGACCTGCTTTACGGCATACGTCACATATTTTACTCGTAGCCTGGGTGCAGTTAGAGAACAGCTAACTGTAAGACCAACGCCATGGCAGAGCGAGCAAAGAAACCAAAGAGGGTTTTGTCGGAGGAAGCTAAGAAAAGGAAGCGAGAGAGTGATCAGACACGAGCCCGAACACAAATTAATCTTGGACGGGCTTACACTCGGTGGCGCGAGCTGAAAGAGGCAACGGGTTGCAAAACGGACAGAGAGCTAGCCTTCCTGCTACTGGATTTGTAAGTCTTATATGTACATTTTTTCTTACTGTTATGTACTTTTGAGCTTAGTTGTTATTAGGCTGTGTTCCGGTTGTTCAGTGGCACACTACAGGTTCACAATTTATAACCGTAAGGTAGCCGAGAGGTAAGGTAATGTTGCCGGTCTTGATAGCTTGCACGTTATGATCTTTCGATAGCTAGCATGTCGTACCTCGTCTCGAATTTATTTACGACACTGGTAACAGACAATTGTGCTTATCAACCACATGGGGGAACTGTGAGCAAAAGTTACATAGTGCTGCTTTAAGATAACATAGTAAGTCATTGAAATGGTTTCTCACCCCTGATTTGCCAATGGACTGCTGGATCTCTGCTAGGAACTCCAGCTGCTGTTCTGCATCCTCTATGTGTCCCTCCATGAGCTGACACCTGATGATACCTGCACAAACAACAAACCCCAAAACCACTCATTTAATGCTTTCTAGTAATGCATTTGAAACATTTAAACGTCACATATTTTACACCTTTCTGTAGTTTTATTTTAAGTCTTGATGTCCTTAAGAATATATATTTGCGGTATAAGTACCGAAAACCATCTCAATTTATTTTTACAGCTCCATTCTCAGGAGCTCTGCAAATAACAGGTCGATTTTGGCCTGTCTAATTAATATTCATGAGCCTCTCTTCTGATTGGCCTGTTGTTTTCTGAGTGACGCACAGCCAGGCCAACCACAGGTAACTAGGGTCATGTATGCTGTAGCTTGCTGTGGATTGGTGATACTCACAAGTAAGGTCAATAGAAACACCGGTAATGATATGTCCGGCCTTACATGTTTGAGCTGAACTCAGACCCCGAATCGGCGACGACAGGAGACAATCAACCACCTCCTCAAACGCGCTTACAACAGGATGTTTCAGAATGGTAATTTAATTCATGTTTTTTTTTTTTCAAACACCGAATGCAGTAAATAAAAACCTGACCAGCCGAGCGTTTGCGATCACGTGAACTTGAAGACACTTGTACAAATGCGGATGGGTGACATGAATGGAAATGATTCCAGATTGGCGATGTAGTATTTGGTTTCTGTATTATGTACTGTATTTTCCTGCACTCAAACCTGCCAATCTAAAGGATCAAACGCCGTGTATGGCGTTTGAGGTAATTTGTGAATTAGCATAGACTTATAGTCTAAATAAAACAATTTGCAACTGTTACTATTATTACACTTGTATACAAAACTTTGTAGTATGCTTGTTATAGAGTGACGCGGTTGTCACGGCGACCATCACAGCCCTACTGTGCAATGATGTAGTTTCCTGACATCCAGACTGAACAGCGTTTTCTCTACATGTTTCCGTGTTGTTGTTGCTCAGCAATGGCATGGACGCGATGTTGTCTGGGGGTTTGGCAAAAGGAGAGTGGGACTGTGGGCAGTGCTCGGGGTGGTGTGTATGCAGGCTGTGTGCATTTGTCTGTGGATTGACTGTTTTGAAACGTATATGGTAGTTACATAGCACCTAGACCTCAGTTATCATGAAAAAAGCCAGGAAATTTCAGGCGACCATCACAGCCCTACTGTGCAATGATGTAGTTTCCTGACATCCAGACTGAACAGCGTTTTCTCTACATGTTTCCGTGTTGTTGTTGCTCAGCAATGGCATGGACGCGATATCGTCTGGGGGTTTGGCAAAAGGAGAGTGGGACGGTGGGCAGTGCTCGGGGCGGTGACTGTGTAGTTCTGACGTCAACTTTTTACGGAAGTCGCAACGGTTCGTGAAAAATCACAGCTACTTTATGCAGGCTGTGTGCATTTGACTGTGGATTGACTGTTTTGAAACTTATATGGTAGTTACATAGCACCTAGACCTCAGTTATCATACAAAAAGCCAGGAAATTTCAGTTTTGACAATATGGGACCTTTAAAAAAAAATACGCCAGGCATGCTAGACAACAGCTAGACATTATAGTACTTTTTAATATTTTAAATTAGCTTTTATTTTTACATTTTCAGTTTGTTTTAGTAATTGTTATTTACATTTGTATTATTTTTTTAAATAATTCTATTTAGATTTAATTGATTTATATTTCAATTTTAGTTTTAGTCATTTTAAGTACATCCACTTATTTATTTCTTTTAGTTGGTTTTAAAGTGCCCCTATTATGGATTTTTGAAAGTTGCCTTTCATGCAGTGTGTAACAGAGCTCTAAGTGAATGAAAACACCCTGCAAAGTTTTAAATCTGAAAGTGCACCGTGTATAAAGTTATTGTCTCTCAAAAGAAAGAGTCGACTCTGAATTTTAATATTTTAAATTAGCTTTTATTTTTACATTTTCAGTTTGTTTTAGTAATTGTTATTTACATTTGTATTATTTTTTTAAATAATTCTATTTAGATTTAATTGATTTATATTTCAATTTTAGTTTTAGTCATTTTAAGTACATCCACTTATTTATTTCTTTTAGTTGGTTTTAAAGTGCCCCTATTATGGATTTTTGAAAGTTGCCTTTCATGCAGTGTGTAACAGAGCTCTAAGTGAATGAAAACACCCTGCAAAGTTTTAAATCTGAAAGTGCACTGTGTATAAAGTTATTGTCTCTCAAAAGAAGAGTCGACTCTGAATCATTGAAACGAGTCGTTTTTAAAACGAATCCCAAGCCGTTTCATGTTGACGTCAACATGAAACATTAGCATATTGCCCGCCCACTTGTTGGTCTTTTCCCATTGGTCTGAATGAAAATGCAAATTCATTCTTTGCCACTAGGTGCCGCTTTTGGAGCGGTAAAAACAGCTGTTTCCGGCTGTAAACAAAGCAGCACAGTGCTCACAAACGCAGCTTATTATGAAATGGAAATGGAATCGACCAATCACCGCAGATTAGCATCACGCAAAGGAGGAGTTTGGGGAAATGAATCATTGAGCGAATCGTTTGGGAGTCGTTGAGCAAGTAAGGAAAAAATAAATGCATATTATAAGACAACGGAAGTGTTTTTTGACCTTGCATGCATGTCAGCCTGTTGTTGGGGACTCCCAAATCCAAAATATGAACCTTTCATTACCCATAATAAGGGCACTTTAAATGTTTAAGCTTTTATCTGATATTTATATTTTATTTCAGATTCATATTAATTACCCAAAATTATTTTTAATAGTTTTAGTAAACAATCACACACTGATCCTAGACAGTCTTTTAATGAAGTTTCAAGTTGCAGCAAGTTTTCTTTAATTGATAGTTTGATTTGAATTACTCACATCAATTCAATGCAAATGTGTAAAAGATTGCTTTTACGAATTGACGGCAACAGCAATTACTAAAGACAATATATAAATACAGGTATTGATGATTAAAATCTGAATAACATTTTTTTTTCATACTGTAAATAATTCATTAGTGTAACTGTAGGCTGTTTTCAGTTGCCACTTTGCACATTAATATGTATATAATTTGTTGTCACAGATGTGCATTTAAAGACATTTTACAAAGGCTTTGAATGTGACTTATTCATCATAATTTATTTGATAAGCCCTCTTTGTCTTTCAAACAGCTCTTACCTATCAAAGCAGAGATGCTGCTCTCATCGAGAGTCATTGCTGTCTTGTACCATTTCATGGCCTCCTTCACCCTTCCCAGAAGGACCAGCTGGTAGCCCATCTCTGTGGCCAGTTCAGAGTCGCTTGAGGCCTGTGCAAACGCCCGCTCCACCATCCTGTGAGTGTGCTGAAGGACCTTCTCAGCTCTTCCACACTGCAGAGGGATCAGATATTCACATCAACACATCTATCTGCAGCATCATTTCTTTTATGAAACAACAGCTTATCAAAACATGTTATTTCCTGCTCAGTATGGTTTCACTTGTGAGCATGTCACGTTTATATATAACAGCATGTGGCAAATCCATCTGGTTTGTGATGTGCAGGATTCTAATCTTCAAGTTCAAATGAATATTAAGTTGTGTGTCCATGGATGAGTATTACCACTCGAGTGAATGCTAAAGACATCCTGTAGAAGAGCTCCGGATTGTTCGGTTCTTGAATGTCCAGATTACTGATCAGATTTGATAGTTGATTTACACACTGAAAAAATAAGAAAGAAAATGAATGAGAATCCTTAAAGAGAGAGAACTATATATACACAACCATTCAAATGTTTGAGGTCGGTAAATCTTTTAATGTTTTTTAAATAAGTCTCTTCAGCTCTCCAAGACTGCATTTATTTGATCGAAAATACAGTAAATACAGTGACATTATTACAATTTAAAATTTGTGACACAAAGCTGAATTTTCAGCGTCATTACTCCAGTCTTCAGTGTTACACGATCCTTCAGAAATTATTCTAATATGCTGATTTGCTGCTCATTTCTTATTATTATCAACGTTGAAAATAGTTGTGCTGCTGCACATTTTTGTGGAAAGCGTGAGACATCAGGATTCTTTGATGAAAGAAAAAATGTTTTACAGTCATTTTAATGGGATTTAATGTCTCCTTGCTGGATAGAAGTATTCATTTCTTGCAAAATAAATAAATGAACAAATCTTACTTTTGAAGAAGCAAACTTTTGAATGACAGTGTATATATTCACTAATTCATAATCAAATTTATATTCACAAAATATGATTCACAATGACACCACTCAAATTCATAAATGTTGACTGTTTTTACATTTACAAATTAAATGTTGAATCTGAATCGTCAAACATCACCTTATATCAGATTTCGAGACTTTTCTGACAGGTTTTGATCACAAACACATCCAAAATATGAAGCAGAACTTCATGAAGGACTTATGCCAGGTTGAAGTCTAATAACTCAACAGGCACACAATTTAATGCAGTATTCTTGTGACATACACTTTTCATTGTGAGCCACAGACTATCTGATCCCATAATGAATGACTTTTCTGGCATTTAATCGGAGTAAACACACATATGTTTGTAATGTCACACCTCTCCAACATCTCCTTCCCTGCAGAGAGAGTGCAGCGCCAGCATCCTCAGAGCCTCCAGGTTATTTTTATCTCGCTGGAGAAGCCTGAAGTTCAGAAGATGAAATTAAAGTCAAAGTCTGTTGATGTGTAAAACAGATGTTCTGAGATGTCTTTGCATAAAGCATTTTTTCCCTGAATATTTAGATATACATTTTCAATATCCATTATAAACATTACTTTATTCTGTGACAAACACCGCATTATAAACTTTTCTGCTTGTTTATTTCAGGGAAACTCAGCTCACAAATATCACCTGCTCTATCAGAATCAGAATGAGCTTTATTGCCAGGTATGTTTACATATACGAGGAATTTGTTTTAGTGACAGAAGCTCCACAGTGTAACAGAATGACAGTGACAAGACAAGACACAGATAATAAAAGAATAATATACAAAATAGACAATGTACAAAATAGCAAAAACACAATATATAATATAGACAATTATGTATGTACAGTAGGGCTGCACAATTAATCGAATTTCTAATCGCAATTACAATTATGGATGCCACAATTACGTAATCGTTCAAAGCGGCAATTAATCGTTCAAAGTCCACTTATGTTATTCTGCACGCTTAAGATATGTTTTATTCTTTCTACGTGTTATCTTAAGGGTTTTTCCATTGTTTTAGTTTTAGTATAACATTATAATACCATTCATATTTTTACTTTTTTTATAATTTAAAGAAGAAACCAATCCAATGTATATTTGACATTTGAGGCTTAATACTATAGAAAAGCACTAAAGGTTTTTCAGTTAGAGAGTTTTCAGCTTGTTTATTTTCATATAAAAATACGGCATGCAGTTGCATCAAACAATGGTATAAACATCATTCAGTGTAAATTGTGATAATCGTAATTAATAATTGCATTTACAATTTCAAGGGAATAATCGACAATTATGATTTTTGTTATAATCGTGCAGCCCTAATGTACAGGTATGATATGTGCAAATTATTCAGGCAGATGTGCCTGTCATCGGTTTTTATTGCAGAAGAATTTTATTATATTGTGTTTTCATGTTAAACAACTAAACTTTCGACAGTCCTTTTGGTGTTAAGAGTATGATTCATTTCAAGGAATCAGTTTAAATGGTCAATCTCAAAGAACCAATTCAAAGTGATTCAATTCAACAATTTATTTGCATCAGCACAGCAGTTCCTACATTATATTTTCATGTTTTTAAAAAGTATATGGAAGTGAACGTTGTGGTGTTTATTATTTCTTTATTGCTATATTCATGCATATTAATGAAAATTATTAAATATTATTCTTCCTTATGTACATTTAGTGGAAAACAGTGATTATTTGACTGAGATTTTTTCAAGTATGTTACTTCTTGCATTAATTTTATTTGATCTGTAATGAATGTTTAGTTTAAATCATAGATTTACAAAATGTCTCTTTTAAGCAATTTTAGAGCAAATACTGTACATAAATTAGCTTGAATAATCACAATCCAGCTCCACCTGAGAGAACTGGTTTTCACACAGACCCTTTGAGGTCTAAAAGGCCCTTTTCATTCTGTCGCTCACTGGCCCTCATCCAACAGGGAAAGAGAAACAATGATCCAGTCTTTCTGTAAAAATCCATGGAATCACATCTAATTTCCATTTGCACTTGAATGCAGCTCGCTTCTGAAAGTCTTTGAGAGCTTTTAGAGTGCATTAAAAAAACAACAACAACAACAAATATTCCTTAAACCATTAAATTAAGGTTTTACCTTTGAGCTGCATCCACTGTTTGTTCCCAGTCCTGTAGCGTCAACAGCAGCTTCATCTTCTTGACCAGGGCAGGTAGAAAGGACGGGTAACTCACAATCACCTGGTTGATGGTCTCTAAAGCACCAGAATAATTCTGACGAAATTCATAATAATGTACCTGACAGAAAGACACAATTAGAGCATTACAAAACAAATTGCATTGCCTTTCATTTATGCACAATACAATATTTTATTTTTATTATTGCTATTTAATTGCCATGAAAATAACGCCTCCTCCTTTTTCATTATCTCTAACATAGTTTCCCACGTTTCTTATATTTTTGAGATGAAGTGTAACCTAGACATGAAATTTCACTTCAACATTTATCAGCCTCTGAATCACTTACTTTAAGTTGATTCTACGTGGTATTTTAAAAAGTATTAATTTTTTTTTTTTTAAATTACACACCACCTTTAAGATGTAAACCTTTGAAAAACGTAAATCAAAAATGTGCATCTATACAAGTAAACATCAATCAGGACATTTCTGTTTGTTGAACTATTAAAATGGTGATCAGAAATAGAGTTACCTTCCCCATCAGAGCAAAAATGTTGCTTTTCTCCTTCAGGGCCTCGTCAAAGTATTTCCCAGACTTCTTTGCATAGGCATCTTTGTTAGATCGTAGATCAATCCAGCCTTTCAGTACAATTCCCTACAAAACAATGATCCCAATATTAAATAAACAGCAAAATATGTGGACAATCTGGAAATCATCAGTGTTATTAGTTATCATAGAGATACTTTTATAGTTTTTAATAATATTTTGAATTAGATTGTAATTTTTCGTTTTCATTTTAATTCGATTTTTAGTAATTGTGTTGTTTTTTTTATATTTGTTTTATTTTTATTTATTTCAGCACATGAAACTAAGTTAACTAAATAAAAATGAAAAAAGTTTATGGTTTTATTTTTTTTTTTTTTACTATAATAGCCCTGATAATCACTACATTTAAAGGAGTCATACTATACTTTTGGAGCCCTGATGTTTAAATAAATATTAATATATATTTTTTATGAACTGAAACAGTCATAGTGTTATATGATCACCATGAATGAACAGGCCAAATTTAATAATGCATCTTGCTGCATAATTTGCAAGATGCATAATTCTTTCCCGCTATTAGACTTATGCTTATATGATGCAGGCAGATCGATCAGTCCTTTCGCCATCATTAAAAGCCGCCTCAGCAGAAATCTAAAGGGTAGATGCATTAGAAAAGTTCACCTCTTTAGAGCCACTGGAGATCTTGATCATTCTGTCCACATACTCTCTGGCTTTGTCATTGCGGCCCAGCAGCCACAGCAGCATGCCAGCGTAATACAGAGCTTTGGGACTCGCCGTCTTCCTCTCCTCCTTCACCCTTCCATCCAGCTCCTGGATCACATCACGGTCTACAGGCAAGACACCTTTTGTCATTATTTATTCACATTCATATCATTCCAACCCTGTATGCTAATACATTTTCCATGCAACACAAAGGATTTTTAAAGAGACATTTAATACTGACATCACAAGTAATCTGCACAACTCCAGTCCATCAGTTAACATCTTGTGATGTAAAAAGCTGCATGTTTGCAAGAAACAAATCATTAAGATGTGTTTAGCTTCAAACCCTTGCCTCTGGATAAAATACAAGTCCTCTATTCATAATATTGCTTTCTTCAGTGAAAAAGTCATCTCGTTTGAATCAGTAGAGAAACATGCAGAGACCAAGCACCGTTTACAAGTTAAAACAGCCCAAAATAGCTCTGAACAAATATGTGGGTAGATTTTGATGTGAGACGACAACAGAGGATACACTTTTTCACTGGAGGAAGCGTTTTTATGGATTATAGACTTGTATTTTGGCCAGAAGCAACGGTTTAAAATTAAAATGCCTTAATGATGGATTAGTTTCTTAGAAACATGCAGCTTTTCACTACACAAGATGTTAACTGATGGACTGGAGTGGTGTCTGTGGATTACTGTGTGTAATGTTTTTATCTGCTTTTTGGACTCCATTCTGACGGATTCCATTAATCAAGACATGCAAAAGATCTACCAGGGTTTGGTCTTTTCTTGTGGGCATAAACCAGAGCCATGAGCACACCGAGGGAACCGTCTCCTCTCTCCTTCAGCTGCTCCAGCTCCTGAATGGCATCCAACACTTGATCTACAACAATACAATAACAAAGAAAAAACAAGGTTTCAGACCATTTCTCAAGACATCAAATGAAGACAAAGATCGAAAATGGCGGGCTTTCCTCACCTTGCATGAGCAGCCCATAAGCGTGGAGGAACGCGAAGACTGAATCATGACTGAACTTCCGTTGAGCTTCACTGGAAACATCTACAACATGACTGGAGTACTTTTCCTGGCAGTAGTATAAGATCAATGCCTGAAATTCGCAATCAATTCAACGGGGTTAACCGAAAATGTAAGTATGTCTAACAGTACACTGTGTGTACTGACTACATGTATGTGTATATTGCACATTGTCATCTGTTGAGGTCTGTATGTTTATATGTAAATTGTTTCTGCACTGTCTGGAGCACGCTCCCAAGAATTTCACTCACCAAGGCACATGTGCTGTGGTGATGTGACAATAAAAGTGACTCGACTTGACTTGAAAATACTGTATTTTTACGCTGGTCAATCCTACTATGCAGCGCATTTGAATTATTCCAGTATACTGGAAAACCATATATTATTAAACAAGCAACTTTTCAGATCAAAACTTGACTAGTCATTTATTTAAAAATATTATAGGGGCTTCTTTACTCTGTAAAACGTTCTGTGTCATATTTAATACCTACATTTCTAAATAAGCCTCTGATAAATGCTGTTGCAGCTGTCATCTGATTGATCATTTAGAATGTTTAGCAAGTAAAAGGCCTTTTAGTTTAATTGTAAAAACATCCACCTTTAGCTCGTGGTCCACGTGTCTTTTTTCTGTGAAATCTTTACTGATTTTATAAAGTAAACATAAGATAACATCATCATAATGCTCTTGAGGAACGTATTTGTTTATATCTCAATCATCATTGTGAGTATGAGCTCCATCACTATATCATATTATTATTATTATACGAGCCACAAAAGCTTGATGTTGCAAATATGATACAGAACATAACATCATAAACTGTTCCATTAATAAAATAGATTACTTCATGTGTCAGGCTTTACAGGGTTGCTTTTTCCAATCGAAATGTCTGAAGCAGTACGTTAAGTTATGTTTCTTTGAGTAACGCTATGAATGTTTCAACTGGTATTTAAGTTATAGTTGTTTTTTTCATCGTCCCTTCCTCTAACTTATGCAGATATGAAAGAAACATCTCACAAACGACATGTATTTCCACAAAACATTCTGGTGCTCAGCTGCATTGTTATTATGAGCACTAAACGATCATTTCTCATGACTTACAAGCGCGCATTCCTCATCATCAACCCCGGCCATAATGTCACACACTGCAGCCGTCAGAACAACCCTGGAAACATACAAAACAGACGCTTCTGTGCGGAGAGTTTCTTTCTATCCCGTTCTCGCCAGCTTTGATAAGCAGATGAAGCATCCTAGTAACCAAACAAACTCCGCTGTTTCCGCCTGGAAACCAGGAAGTGACGACTCAGTGAAACAGTGGCGCACTTCTACTTGCTCACCACAGGGTGGCGCCACAATCTCGTTTTTCCTTAGAGCTTAGACACGTGTGTAGACATCAGTTACAAATATTTAGAACATATACATTTATGAATATAGGTTACTCTTTGAATTTAGAAAACTCCCTACTTTTTTACTTTCAGGAAAGATTTTGATGTGTATGTAAACTCTTTAAGAAACTAATAATTCTATTGCATGTAAGACTCTTTCATGGTGCAAGTCTTATAAGCTAACATAGCATGCTTTGGAGTATTGTTTGTAACCCTTATTGTCTTTTGTTCTTACTTGTCTTTGTAATTGTATTTGTTGTTCTTCTATTGCATAATAAAAAAAAATATGAATATATATTCATATGGCGTTTCTAGCATCAAAAGATGTCATTTATTAATAAAATATGTTATAAAAAGGACCAAATAGTTTTCTGAATTACATCTACCTAGCCTAACTCCTTCACTGAGGTGATGCTTGACTTCGGCTCTTTCCCCTTTTGCATTGATCTGCATGTAAAAGTGAGGTCGGGCTGTTTTGAATAGATGCAAACTGTGCTGCTTCTGCTGTGGCGGTTCAGTCTCTGAATCTCTGAATCTCTCAGCTGAATGAGTCTCATCAGCACACGACTGAACTGTGGTCAGAGCTGAAGTGTGTGGCTCACAGATTGCTGGTGTTTCAAAACCCATCCATCTCTGGGCACTGCACTGGTTCTCCTCAACTGGTTTTGCTTCAGGACTCAACTTCATAAGTGTTACTAGGATATAAAATCAAAGTATTTACTGAAAATGTATGAACATTGGCACAAAATATGGGTTTCTAAATGTCTTTTGAATTTAATTTCATGCTATATATTTATATATAGACAGATAAATATATAGTGTCCAAAGGTTTGGGGTCGGTGAGATGTTTGTTTGTTTGTTTATTTATTTATTTATTTGAAGTCTCTTTTGCTCACCAGGGCTGCATAATTTGGTTAAACAAATCCAGTAAATACAGTACTGTTGTGAAATATTATTACAATTTCAAATAAGTGTTTTCTATTTGAATATGTTTTAAAGTGTAATTTATTCCTGCGATGCAAAGCTGAATTTTCAGCATCATTACTCCAGTCTTCAGTGTCAAATGATCCTTCAGAAATCATTCAGATATGCTGATTTGCATCTTAGGAAACATTTCTTATTATTATCAACTTTGAAAAAATTGTGCTGCTTAATATTTTTGTGGAAACTGTGATGAAATACACTGATGAAAGCTTATTTTTTTTATTTTAAAAAATGAATAAAAAAATAAAATAAACTGTTGAACAGTATATATATGATATGATATACTTTTTTTAAAGGGGTCATAGGATGCCCATTTTCCACAAGTTGATATGATTCTTTAGGGTCTTAATGAAAAGTC